AGACAGACAGACAGACAGACAGACAGACAGACAGACAGACAGACAGAGAGATAGATAGATAGATAGATGGGTAGGTAGATAGATGGATAGATAGATAGATAGATAGATAGATGACTACTTATATATATATATATGACTCATGACGTCGCCTTTTTGCTGGCAGCCCTGGCCGAATCCAGTCAGCCTGGGTCCACGGCCCAAAGATCTACACACGCAGGTGCCAAAGTCAAGGCCTCTGAGTGAGAAAGGCGCAGAGTTGATAAGAAAGAGAAGAATAAAGACTGTGTTTGGATCGTTTAATAAAGGCCCCTTTAAAGGAAAAAGACTGTGTTTTGGATGACTCACTCACTCCTTTGCTAGCCCAAGCTACTCCCGCTGGACCTCCCCTTCTGCGCCGCGGGATCAAAAGTCCGTGCCCCGGCTAAGACGTGCCCGTTCACTCTTCCAATTCAACGAATGCCGCTTTTCGACGCGCCGTAGTATGCATTGCAAACTTCAAAAACAAACACATAATTGCTTCTTTTCAAACACACGCCGTACTCGCGCGCGGCGCGACGCTGACTATGGAGAAGGTCTTCCTGCGCGCGCGCGCGCGGGCGCGCGCAGGTGGGTATCCCACCACTCGAACTCAGATGGTATTTCCCCTTCGCTAACGCTGATGTTGCCTTCCAACTTCCATAAGATGCATACCTTCCTGCGTGTGACAAACACATGCCATTGCCTTGTGATGATGACCTACACCAACATACAACGTATCGCGTTTCTCTTTCACTACGTCTTTCATACCAAACAACTCCCAAAGCCGCCCGGCTTGCTTTTCTGCACCCTCCATCACCATTACATACGCCCCCTCGCATCCGTGGCACCGCATATGTGTTGTGCCGCGACGCCCGCCAGAAAAAGGGACACTCGTCTGGCGGCTGCTGGCTTTCGTCCCCCCCTTCTCAGGTATATATATATATATAACTTGCATTGAGGGAACAAGTATCATGGTGTTTGTGGCTTCGAGGAGCTTTCTGCCCACTGCCAAACTCGCTTTCCAAGCTCTACCTGCCAACAGCCAACATTATCCAGAAGTTTTTTCAAGGAGTTCTGATCTCCACAAAAAAGATCACATGTTTTTTCTGTTTTAGGAGCTTCTTGTAAGCAGAATCATGATGGGACCTATAGGACCTTCAATACCGAACTATTTTTGTCAGACAATGCGCACATGACGGTTCTCTGACGTGATTTATTCTCAGGGCTGTTTGCTGTTGTGCGTTCCTGTTCCATCATTGCTGCCTTGACGAGGTAGCTCTCCGCCTTTGGAATCATTTTCGCAAAGGCCAGCCAGAATGACGCGGGCTTAGTCTGTTTTGAAGACACTGAACTCGTTTTTCAGTGTGAGAGAGGGGGAACACTGCACTAGGATACTTCAATGGTTTGATTGCGAGAAGGTTTGTTGGCTTGACTTAAAGATGCCAGAACATACTCATTCGAACTTGAAGTTCTTCTTTTGTGCCGGTACCTTGAGCCTTGTACATCAATGAAATCGTGCGTGCCAAGCCCAATCAATATGCATACATAGCAACCCGGTATAACAAGTGCTTCCGCTGGAATTTTTTTTGCATCGAGCTGCTAGGTGCGAGTGAGAACTTGGAGGTGTGTTGGGATACAAGGCATCAAGGCCTTGATCAGCTAATCAAGTACTACAGCCCCTTGGCGGCAATGGCTTTGCAAGGTCACTGTGTACTGAGTGTTGCTGCGATGCAATCGCAGAGCCCAGTCCAGAGCTGTTGATACTATCTCAGTGTGAACCTGAGGAAACAACAGTGTGATGCATCCTCTTCTTCCAGAGCATTGCAAGCCGATGCTACTTCTTTCCGGTGAGAAGGTGGATTTTCCCCCTCCGACTAAGGCAAGGTTACGTGAATCGGCATTACATGGGAATGACAGTTATCAGAACTTGATTTGTCAAGGTGGATGGCAACAGTAAGCAGTTGGTGGAAGCAGTCTTCGGAAGCAGTCTTTGGGAATCATTCCAACCCCTGGAATTGTTTCGGGGTTGAAATAGTAAAGACACTTCTCCCAGAGTTCCTTTCGATATTATATACATTTTTTCTCCCAACTGCCACCACCACGACCACTCTTTTGATCAAGTACACTTTTTGAGTATTGTCGAGACTCCAGGCTGATCCAGTTTATCAACAATCCCTACTATATAAACTACAATACTATACACACACAATATATATATATATTTATCTATCAAAACATTTCCAAGAGTAGTCTTCCAAGGGGAGATGTGCACAATTTTATGAATTGTTTAGGCTTTGGGCTTCCTAGCGCTCCCTGTTCTTTCCTATTGTTTGTCCATCTTTGGTTATGACACTCTGGGCTGATCAGTTTTTTTTTTTTTTTTAAACTCAACCATCCTTCTTAAAACAATATCAACATTCTTCCGAAAACCGTTGACCGAGGGGGTAGTTCACTGGCATCCTGGAATTGATGTATATTGAAGTTCTGACAGAACAACAATGTTCCCGCTGATTTCCTTTCATTTCCTTTGATTTCTGACCGTAGGAATTCAGAAAAATACAGGAACGGATTTCTTTTTGACTTTCAGATTTCATTTGTTTCCTTTTATGAGGACAGATCAGCGTTTTCCTTTTCTTTCCAAACACAATTCCTCGACCACGCTGTCTCGATTTGTTTTGGGTGAGGTGGTCCTTACACTGATATGATTCCTTTCCCTCTACTCAGACCCCCACTCGAACCCTAGTCATGTGATTTGCCGAGCCATGCGGAGCCAAAGCGTGCCAGGCTTTGACAACCCCAAAGTCGCTCAGAGGCTGGGAGCGCTGCAAGTGCTTTTGTTCGCCCATTTAGTCTGGTGGGACTTGACTAGAAGGCTTTCACTTCCACACCAGCAAAGGCCACTGAGAAGGTTTGCAAGCTATTCTTCACATACTGTAATGCTTTGTGCAGTCTTCCTCCCCACCTCTGGGTGCGTCAAGTAAGGTGTTCCACACTCCGCACTTCGAATTGAGGTCCTGCAAGGAGGTTTCGTGTCAACATGCTAGACACTTCTTACAAATGCCATGCTAGAAAAGTCGTGCACCTCCCGTAGTCATCAAGATACTAGAGTGTTGAGTCTGGGGAAGGCTTGGGTTCACGTCTGAGTCTATCATCATAGTTTACATTTGTACATTTTGGCTCAAGAGCCAAATGGACGGTGGAGTTTCTTTCCCACCCACCCATCCCTTGTAGCCAGCCCCACGTGGGTGTCCCGCTAATTGGGATGTCTTCGCATCATGGGATGCTCTCCACTTGTGGTTACCCAGGTTCGGGATCGTGCTTGGTACACACACCTTATGGATACAGGGAGTGAACAAGTGGAGGCGTGACAGAGGCATACCAACGCCTAATCCCTGGGAACAGCGTGAGACCACCGGGAGTGGAGTGGGAAAGGAAATGAAGAGCGCGCTGCGGGATACCGACTGGCCGATACAGGTAGCTCATGATGTAACGCGTGCTATTGTCCACAGTACTGAGGATAGCTTCAGCCAAAGTGCTTGGCACTACAGCAGTGCAACAGACCGGAGGGTCTACAACCTGCGATCCTCTTGAGAGTGCCACTTGTGCGCAGGTAGCAAGTTCCGGAAGTCTTGGGGAGATGCGAAGGACAAGTTGGTGAATGACCTCTTATTCTACCTCAAGGCACATCCTTGTTGGATGCACTTTCAAGATGACACATGGCTGTAAGAACGCATCAAGTCATGAGGAGGACCTTGTATGCTGCAAAGTTGGATATTGAACAACTCAAGAAGTCTTGACTGCTCCTAAGTCAAGGCTTTTGCTTAGACATAGACTCTTAATATATATCTTGCCAAACTCTGCATTTTTGTTGTGTCAGCCAGCCAGAAATGATGCCTTCATTTTCAGAAAAACTGGTGTGATGGCAGGAAGCAGAGGCTAAGACCTCTCAATGAAGCACAAATACCCTTGGCACTCAGCTCAGCTCAGTTGAATGTTGAATTCATGGATACCCGATTTTCATAAAACTTACCAAGTAAACTCAAGCTGCTTGAGCAACATTCTGCTTGACGTTGTCCAGAAGGTTTTGAACGGTTAGACCAGACCTCATTGCTCAGGATCAATGGATGCACGGAGATGTTTGATTGCTCCACAATGCATGGATGTCCGCCAGTGGGAGTGCAAATTGACAAGTTTGGCACTCGGTTTGGATAGCTGGTGCTTGTTGGTTGTGGTCTTGTCACTGCAGCGAACGACTTTAATATTGGCATTTGCTGCGATCCCCACTCGTACTTGGTAAACCTAACATGCGTAGAATCTAAAACCAAAACGAGGCGTGTTTCTGAGCAGGTTGACAGATTGAATGGGTAGACAGCGAATCCCAGAAGATGGTTTAAACATGTTTAAACTTAACCTCAAACCTCTAAACAACTGGTTTCTAAGTATGAACTTTGCCTGGCCATCAAAGAAAACAACCCGGTTCGTTCATTTTGCAAGCACACAGCTTTATAGATGTAGCTATAGACATTGCAAACAAATTTGATTGAACCGACCGGTCAAAGTGAATTTGCTGCATTTTGCTCCAACACGATTTTTTCCGAGCAACAATCATGCAATTGAGCCAAAGGGGTCCCTCTTGGACCTCTTGGATATTTACTTGTTGTACATTTGCAACGGTCAGTTCGTATTTCTGAATTTGACACAGCGCTGCGACATTATGGACCACACCAATAGCTGCGATAGCTCGCTAGTTTTGTTTTTTGTCGCGAAGAGGATGCCTTGAGCCACTCTTCCTGGGCCGTGAGATAAAACGTGAGCCTGCAGGAAGGATGTGGAGCTGGCATACCTTTTGCCGTTCCAGCGGATCATCACGGTCTCGTTTGCTTTGGGGCTGGACAACTGACAACATGCCAACTAGATTGTAGGTCCCAACTTTTATTCTTTTGACGAGACGATGTATGAACAAGTTTCTCCGGGGCATGCCTGAACCTTTTGAACTTTTGACTGGTCTGAAACAGAATTCAGGAATTTGGTTTCAAACTATGGAGTGTTGATGCAGCAAAAGTGTTCCAGGACGCTTCTTTTCCTTGTCCGCTTTAATGTAGCCTTAGCCTACTCAGGGAGAGTTGATTCTGCCGCGATCATCGACTGACCTTCTTAGTCGAGGGGTTGAACTTACATAGAAGATATATGAAGATATGTGGTGTCAGATGTCAGCTGTCCAATTCAAGTCCCAACCTGCCTCGTTTTTTGCCCGTTACTTAGATTCGATCTGCACGGCAAAAGACTGTGCACACTCGAAAAGTGGCGAAATGAAGAGTGATGAGATGAGGGCGCTCCACTGTTCGAAGCAGTCCGCCTGTTGGCTTTTGGATTCAGCGCTGGAAAGTGGTGCTTTCTATCAGTGTCTTCAGCGTTCGGCGTGGTATTTGGTGTTCGTGGGGCGGCAGGCTTGTCAAAAGGTTGGCTAGCAAAACCCTCAGGGAACAACATTGTGGACAAATCAACACCAAGAACCCCTGCTAATCCGTGTCTCAAAAGATGATCCCTCTGACCAGACCTTGGCTTATCAAGCTGGATTTGAGCTGGCGATGTGAATAAATCGCTTTTGAGAGGAAGGTATATAGCAATCATCAAATTATAGTCTTCTTTTCGCGCCTTGAATTCCTTTCCTTTCGGGCAGCTTTGTCAACGGCACGTTGCTGCAATTGATCGGCACCGGCGTCTGCACAAGCAGTATTGTCGCGCGCACAATGGTGCAGATGCAACGGCTTCCCCACAAATAGCTGGTGTAAGGTCTCACACTCGATACTACATAGGTTTTGCCCCTCTAACCTGTCAAGAAGGGAATCTTTGGCATGATGCAATCAAGCTACTTCCGTCACCCAGGCACACTGTCCAATACAGTAAGCATGTTTGGAGGCTTTGCTTTCTGGTTGATCATGATGGTGGAACTGGTGGAAAGCCATTGACCAATCCGGACATCTTCCAAAGCGCTGGCGGGCTTGATCCCACCACCAGAGAGAGCAAACAGTCCCAACTCGACTCGATTGAGCACCAAGGGTAGAAGCTTTTAGTAACAAGGGCATCGCTACTAGGAACAAGGGCATCGCTACTAGTAGCTAGAAGCTGACATTATTGAATTATAGGTAGCTGACATCGTGGGTGGCGGGTTCGGCCGGCGAGCTGCTCATGACGTGCTAGCAGAGAGTGAGATGAAGTTTCCAAAATACTCCCGCGTGATGACTGCTAGACACGTGTCAGGAGGGCGGGAGTTTCGATAGTTGGGACATCAAAGGGCTTGGCCTGCCACGTCTTCCAAGCCAAACCCAAGAGCATGAGCTACAAAAGAAAGCAGCCGCGTGAGTGTCGCAGTTCTCTTTTCCAAGTCCATGCGATTTAGATCATTCTGTTGGGGGTGCTTCTGTCCACAGTGTATCGTATTGCTGGAACACGTGCGTGGAAAGACCGCTTCTGTTTGGAGGTTTAGAGTATGATTCGAGGGTCTTGGTTTCCTCAGCGATTGCTCTATGCACTTTCTTGACAAGGGGGACCAAGGTGCCTTTATTCGGAACGCTTGATGGATGAAGGACAAATGATGATAAGAAAACTTGAGGGACCAGAACCTGTGATGATGTGTAGGTTCCGCCATTCTGCCAAGGAGAGTTTTACTTCACCTTGGATGCCTCCAGAGCCGAATGTACGTTGAAGTGCAGGGGCCCAGTCAACATCCCAGCTCTAAAGTCAGACCTTCAAAAGTTCCAACTAGCAAATGAACAATATTAATGTTACTGATGTTGCAGCTTGGTGTCCTTTGACAGTTACATGGAGCTGATAGATGGCCTTTGTCAATTGGTGGTATCACAGATGCTTGCTTGCTATTTTCTTTTTCAATGTTTGGCCACTACCAAACATTTTCAGATTCTTGAGATTTTGTGTGAATAGATGCAGCTGACGGAG